TATCACGTTCAGTACCTGGGCTTAAAAAGAAGTACTATGTTACCTTTGTCTAATGAGCGCTTGTGTTTGGCGTTCAGAGCGTCCGTCAGGGTGCGCCACGCTTTCGTCTTGAGACCTTTGTCGGTAGTAGGGAAGCATCCTTTCGTGCTTCACAGTACATATCCAGCAAGTCAAACTCTTCGTGAACTGCCCACGTTGCGCGCTGCTGACTTGCGGTTGTGGGGGTCGTAGATGACCTGCTGGTGTGTGCTGGCTTCTTCGTTGACTTGGTCTGCTTCTTTGACGACTTTGTGGTCTTTCCCATGATGCCGAGTGATGTTGAGTTTGCACTCTGATCCGTCCGAAACGAAAGTGGCACCCACTCCAGATCATGTCAGTATAAAAAGGGAAACTCCTGGTTATAAGAGCAGACAAAAATTGGAACATCGACCGATGCCATTTTCATTCTTTGGAAACCGGGTGTCAACCTGATTTCCGGAATGACCCTGAAAACATCGTTCCGCCTCTGAAGTATCCTTTCGCGATTTTTGTGTTTGCGACGCGGATTTTGGATCAAAACGACGTTTTCCCTCCCAGAACGATGTTTTCCTGTCATCGCGAACACGCCCTTAGACTTGAACCAGTAAAGAAAGGTCAATCTTGGTCAACGGTATTATTTGATAAATCTTTTGCGTTCTTGTGGAATTGGATGAGCCGGGCGGATTCAAAAAAATTTCCATTATGTTGCAGCATATAGAGTGATCTGAAGATTGCCTAATTGTCGAGGAGCAAGGTCATAAAGGAAACCAGACCGGAGCAGAAAAGTTGGTGAAGCGTGTATACGCCAACCCCTACGAGCTGTCACAATGCCCCATTCTCGCTATCACTGTGCTGCTATTTTGCTGTTCTGAACGCGGTAAAGAAGGCAAACAACAGCTTTTACTAACCAGTGTCTCGAAGGATCGCTTTGGTCGTTTGCTACCTCGTGTTATTAAGTCGTTTAGTGAGGAAGCGTTGTGTTTACTGAGTTGTATACTGGAAGCCATTGGCACCCACAGCCTAAAGATAGTAGCACGTACCGACTAGGACAAGTTAGTGGCCCGATCCCCGTCTCGGTGTACCTGCGTATGGGCCAAAGGCTGGGAAAGCTGCATGACAAATACATCTATTTTGGAGAGGGGGCTGACCAACTGTGCGGAAGAATGATTGCTGAATTGTCATTTGATTCTGAGCGCTTTGAAGTATTGGCGCCACATTTTCCACCTGCTTTGATAGCTAAAATGACGATCGATTTCCGAAATGAAATTAAAAGGGGCTACAGCAACTATCCGCGTGGAGTACAATCCGCTTTTCCTTTTTT